TGACTTACTGTTTAACAAGCTGGGAGGAGGATAACCCATTTACTAAACAGCCTGTTGAGGTACTTTATAAACGGATATATAAAATCTTAGTTTAAAAAGCCTGTAGGATACCATCATTGCAATATTTTAACAAAACATCATTTGTTGAGTTGGGAAAATATGACCATATTTGCACATCTCTGTTTGGTCTTTTCTTTTATGGTCTTGCATCTTATTCATTTGAAGAACTTGTCACATCGTCATCTATAAGGGCCATCAGAGTGACTTTGCTGTAGCTCTTAGACTGAGTACATTTGGTCAGAACTCATTTTGAGTGAGAGCTTTTCACGACTGGAATTCAATACCAAACAGCTGCTAATTTAAAAGAATGGCTCTTGGGTTAACAAATAAGAGCCATGTGACTCCTATTTTTATTTATTTGTTTTAATGTATTGTTGAACTTTTGTGGTTTATGGCTTTTTAATTATGTAACTTGATATAGTCTTTTAGATAAAAAAAATGTTTTTAATGTATCATTATTATTCTCATGTTTTGGAAGAAGCTGTTGTCTGTATTGCACTGTGATTTGTACTGATGGTAGCTTGAGGAAGTACAGGTGAAAACTAGTCTTTTTGGCTAACTGTGGCATATTATGTCAGGTACATTGTCCCTTTTGAAATAAAAAACAACATCGCATGCCGAAGAGATTATGAGGTCATTTGAATCGGGTAAATACAACTAAAACATGAAGGACAGTTTGCCATGAAGACCAGAGTTTAGAAACACTTGGATTAAACAAGGACCTATCAAAACGTATTTCTTTAGTGAAAAAAAGACAAGATTCTCTTCGATTAGAATTTATGACAATTGATTAGCGATTAACAGTTGTTACGTAGTCTGTGGATTAACGTCAATAATGACATTCATTTTAAAACTAACTTCATCTACTGCCATCTTTAAAAGCCACATTTGTTTAAACGTGATTCAGATGGAGCATAAAACGATGGAGTCATATCATATAATTCTTGCAACTGGATCTGCTCCATGTTTTAAACAGCTGTAAAATGAATGAGACAAGGACACCCAACCTACAACTCCTACATCCCTTTCCCCCTTTATAAACACCACAAAGGTTTATAAAGGCTGTCTTCTGTCTCCTACAGGACAGATTGCACATAACAAGGGTGCAAATATATAATGAAAAACTGAGCAGGACAAAACGTTGACGAAACGGAGCACAGGAAAACTCACCACACCACAAAGAGGGGGTAAAGGGGTGTCACAACTCACGACGTGTTCAGACCTCCACACACACACTTGCATCGCCTCAGCTCCGAGCGGCTGCCGTTAGTTAGAGTTCGTAGCTCTAACTGCGCTGCAGATTTTAATGAGTCGACAGTAATGCTGCGGCGTTAGGTCGATAAGCGGAGCTGGAAAGCAGCTAAATTAGAGGCAATCGTAGAAACAAGCCCGTTACACTCCCAATACTGTTTCCGGAGACCAAGCGAGCTCTTAGAACAGCTTCCTCTCACGTGTCAGCGCCCTACAGCGACGCCTGGTGTCAAGGAGCCAGTGGACGGCAAACAGTATACTGAAAAAGGTTAATTAAAAAACCTTCAGATAAATTCAGGTTTTGTGACAATGGCGTCAGTGCATATGATGTAGACATGTAATAAATAATAATAATAATAATAATAATACATTCTGTAATATTCCTTTTAAACTGAAATACTAGATTTTTTGTGTGTTTCTGTATTAAAACTTGAATGACTAGAAATACAAATACAGTAAGCTGAATAGAAAGGGAAATTTTTAAATTGTACTCTGTTTTACCTCAAAGATATTCCCCTAACAAAAAATCAATCTCAAAACAAACATAAAATCTTTTTTTTTAAGTCATATTTTACATGATTTCAAAATGTCACGCAGATTGTTAAAGGCAGCGATGTCTCGGGTGAAGCATATTCTGATTAAGGTGTAGATTATTACACCAGAATATATCCCCAGAAAAAAAGTTTATCTTTACTTCTGATTTTCAGTTTTTGTCATTTAAATATTAAGAGAAAAACACATTTCTACTAATTTCTACTAATCCGTTTCTAAGCACAAAAATTCAATTTAAAGATTTTTTATTTTAAAATATCTAGAATACTGTGTTTTTGTTTACTGGTTTTTGATGTGAACATCTAATCACCAAAACATGCACCGATCCAGTATCAAGGTTTTGCAGTGAAAAGGTGTGCAAAATTCAACCTTTGATTTGAACAAACGTATTCAATGGGATCAATGCAGGGTGTACATAGAATGATGATAGAGCTAAGTAAAAAAAAAAAGTCAGAAATTGATCCAAATTTATCTTGCCATCACACATTTTGTAAATGATTGTAAGTGAGATTAAAAATCTCTAAAACTCACTGCTAGTGAACTGCAGCAAATTCCATGCTTAAGCCAGGGGAGGAAATCACATTTTGTTATTGGGGGGACACTAAACAGAGAAATTTTTTAAGAGCAAATTTGGGGGGTTAGCAAAGTTACAGTGAAATGTAACGTAAAATGTGATTTAAAAAGTTTTTAATGTGTTCAAGCTGTAAGACCAAAAATGACTAGCAATGCTCAGACGTGTTTGATGATGTGTTTGAACATGTCACAAAATAACACAAAGCAGGAAGATTAGAGAAAATCCAATTTAAAAATGGAAAAAGCTTTTACCAATTTTAACAAGTCACAATGTGTGACATCTGTAAGAATGTCGGCTCTGAGTGCTCTCCCTTTGTTTGCACTTATACTGAGGGGTTTAATCAGAGTCAATAGGTTGTCATGCTAATCAGCAATTTATATGTCAGGTGTTTTCCTGTCTATGTTTAGGGGCAAAGTTGATGAAATTAATTTGTGAGGGATTAACTCAGCCTGAGCAGATTAGCTCCTTGTTACTCACTTCATGTTTGATCAGTGGAGAAACTTCTTCTCCTGTTTAAAATAGCCTCACCACGTCAGGCCAGCTCAGACACAGCAGAAAACCATGTACATTGTTTCCATAATCAATTTTGTTTGATAGTAGGATTTGATAGTAGGAAAAATGAAGGCATATTTAAGTATTTCTCTTGAATATGCCAAAAGAGACTGCAATTTTTTGAAAAATGTAAGATTTGGCTTCAGTTGCACAGAAAAATATCTCACTTACAGATACAATCTGACGATCACATCTGCTTGCTGGCATCAATACCATACTGCCATGAGTTGAAGGATTCTGTTTTCTTCTTGTGGTTTTGTTCTGTTCCACCCACAGTCTAATTTGCTTTTTGGTATTTGTGTGTGTGTGTGTGCATGATTATTTCTCTGTGTTGCACTCCTTGGTACTTAGATGTTTAGTCATATTCAGTTTAGTTATGGCCAATACCTGATCCCTGAGTGTTATGTCATCTCTTCACCTCCATCTCTCAGACGATGCTCCATCATAGCTCTTCCATATTTATTTAATCAGTCTCACTTACTCCCATTGCAGCAGATGCCCCCACCCTTTACCTCCCACAACCCCTGATTCATTGATTGCCAGATTTCCATTTCTGTTTTCTTTCATTAAAGGAAAGTGGTTCAACACCAACACAAGCCCACCATAACCTGGAAGCTGCTTCAACACCATGGTCATCATCTACAATCCAGCAAGTTCTACATTGGGTTTACTGAGGCATTGGGTTTAATGTTTTTCTTGTACACTGCACAAAGTGGATGGAACTCTACTTCACCTCAGTACAGCTAGATGATAGGAACTTTGACACAATTTGGTGTCTAACAGGACAATAATCCCAAACACATACCCCAAACTGGTTTGAAAAGCAATACCTGCCTTGAACCTCTATTGAAGCTTCAAAGCAGCAACTCTTCATCTCCACCACTTATTGTTGTTTCTTGTTCCAAATCAACTACCTGGGTGGAATATGCCTGCAGTCAAATTTCCAGTTTGTCCAGTTGGAACCCGAGACGTTGCAACAGAGCCATCTAAAATCCCAGTAGTCTCGTAGATTTGGGTGTTCATGCCGTAGGCTTACTCTTAGGTTTAAGTCATCTCTCCTCTTGTTGTTTAGGGACAGACATCAGCAGGAAAACACAGAGGGTCCTGGTAAAAAGCTCTGCTGATCCGCCTCTGTCTGCAAACACACTGCATGTTGTGTTTTCACTCGGTTAGCTCAGATTGCTTTCAGTTCCAGGATATATTAAAGATGAAAAAAAGTAAAAGTGACCAGCAGAACCTTTAGAGTGATGATGGTAGTTCTGGAGTCTTCCTCTGTATCAGCTTAGGGAAAGAATTTATTGAGAGCTGAAAAAAAAGAAAAATAAAACAAAGCACTTTTTTTCTTGGTTGGAAGGATTGATTTAAAATCCTTCAGGCTAAACTAATCTCTTGCCAGATGTGGGAGACACATATAAAGTGTTGAGAGCACATTAAAGTTCAAGAAGAATACACTTAATTTAAATGCAAAGAGAAAAAAAGTTCTTAATGTCAGAGGTTTCAATAATTAAGTTCCACCTTCCGGTCACTCAGGAATAGCTAATCAATGCCAGTAAATCTGGAAACTTCATTTCATTTAGCTGCTGTGAGAGTAATAAATGCAGGGTAGCATTTTCACTGATTTATATTTACTATTAATTATAGATGGAAAGTTCCATGTTATAGACTATCAAACAATAACTTAGGCATTTTTCATTTTAGTACTTTGATTTTAAGTTTAGATGCATATTTTTGTTATTCTTGTGTAATCAAAGTAGTGATTGCACTTTTAACTCTGAGACTAAAAAGCAAACACCAGCATGGTGATAAGTGCAACATTTTTCAGTGTAATTAGCTCTTGCCTCATTGTTTAATAATTCAGTTACCTGTTCAACATTTCTTTCTGATGTGTCTTTCCTCTGTTACTCCTTTAACTTTTCAGAACAACAGTTTTACTTTGATATCTTGGACCACATCTGCAATTCTGTCTATGTAATAATGTGCACTTCCTTTTTACAAACTCACTAACACGCTGTTATACAATGACCATTTATTCACACTGTATGGAGCTGAAAATAAACATGTCAGAGTCAGAAACACTGCTGCTTGGCCAGAGAACCTTTAAATCAATCAGAACCAAAAACTTACAGATGGATTTTGTTTACATGTGTAGAAACAGATCAGAGAGTATCAGTCACCTAATACCTGAAAGTTAAACCAAGGTTCAGCCTGTGGGAGCTCCACCATTCAAATCTGAACAATGCTCAACAAGCATCTGTAAACTTGCTCCCTCCTCTGTCCATTTTTCTGGATTTTTTAAAAATGTGAAATCAGACCCGTTTTCCCTCCATCAGCCAATGCACTTCCTGCTGTGTTCTTTTTATGCTTGAATCAAACTAAATAAACATCAGAACTACATAAAACACAGAAGTAAAAAGGGCTTAAATGTACAAAATCCATCTTAAAAACACAAACACACACACACACTATGGCACATGTTGCTGTGCAGTGAACTTCACAGATATTAGCCAGGCTTAGTGAGCACAGAGCTGTTTCACACGTTAGCTTGTAGGCACGCATGTCGCACCCAAAACCTGGACAAACAAAATGACATCTCAGCAAAATGAAGATGAAATGTTTGGGGCTTCAGCTCAGTGCAAGCATTATGGCTTAGGAAGCTGCGATAAAAGGAGGACAGGCAGTACACAGTAAAAAAACAAAAACAAAAAACTAATTTTTCCATATATACCTTGTAAAAGTATTAATATGTCTAACATTTTTAACATTTGTGACATTAAAAGCACAAACTCCAGAGGTAGGAGGTTAGGGGTTGGACAAACATAGAATAGTACAAAAAAGGGTAAATGATGTAAAAAATTTGAACAAAAATAATTTAATTATGGTGTGCTGTTTTTATTTTTTTATTAACCCTCTTCACTCTGATACCCATAAATAAAATCCAGTGTCAAATACTTAGTAAATGTAGTCCACCTGGGAGTAATTTCTTGTTAGTATAAATGCATGAAGACCAAAGAACCCAGCTGACAGGTCATGGAGAAGCTGTGGAGGAGTTTAAAGCAGGGTTGGTTTATAAAACAATCCCAATTTTTGAAAAACTCACAGAGCTCTGTTCAGTCCACCAACTAAAAATAGAACCAGCATAGAGGCCAAAGCAAACCTGTGGATGATGTCAGATGATCCCAAAATTTACATGTAATGTAAATTGTAAATATAATGTTTAAATAAACCCAATTCTAGTGATGTTCGGATGTTACTGTGTAAAACAATGTCTCAACTTCATTGGAATGTGTTGCAGACATCAAATCCAAATAAGTGAACATTAGGAGAAAAAAAAGTTTACCTGTTTGAACATTATTGTGTCTTTGTAGTGAATTGAACTGAATATAGGTTGAAACTTCATTGGAGTTGGGGTTATAAGACAACTAAAACTGCACATCAACCTGAATGCACTCACAGGACGGTGGCAGCATTATTTTTTGGGGATGCTTCTCCAGCAGAAACAGGATAGCAAAAAAAGGGCTAGGGTTAGCCTCCCAACCGCACCTCCCTAAGCAAACATCCAGAGCTACAACACATGGTTTAGATCGTGTCTTATCATGAATGGCTCAGTCAAAGTCCAGATGTAAATTTAATCCAAGACTTGAAAAGGATGTTTACAGCTGCTCTCCATCCTGTCTGAGCAGCAGATGTTTTTACTACTTTTAATCTGTAGATTTGCAAGTTGTGCAGCTGTGGCTGCAGCAAAAGTTCTGATGCAAGGAGACTGAATACAAATGTGTAGCACACTTTGTTTTTCTTTGAGAAGTTTGCAAACTATCCTTTTTCTTTCAATTTTCCAAGTATGCACCACTTTGTAATAGTCTGTCATACAAAATCCTAATAATACAAGCTGAATTTTGAGGTTGCAATGTGACAAAATGTGAACATATTTCAAAGTACTGTATTTCAATTCAAAAATCACTATCCCAAACTGCTCAACGCTCTGACATTGCAGGTAAGTGCTGAAAAACATCTGCTCATGCTCACTCTCTGTCCATTTCAGATTCAAAAAGCTGTGATTATCAAACATTTTTCTCCTTTCTTCTCTTGCCTGCTGTGGTATCTGAAAGCTGGCAGCGCTGCGTTTGTGTGCATGGATCAGTCTGTGGAAAAGAAAAAAGCTGCTCACTTGTGTGTAGTTTTTTTTTTCCCCCCCACAGCCTTTAAGTTCCCATCTCTCAGCTGGAGATGCTGAAATAGTGCATCAGAGATGGTGTTAAGTGGGGACTTGTACACTTAAGTGTAGGTACAGAAAACAGACGAGAAGTTTTGTGCAGAAGTTCCAGCTTCCTTTAGCTCCAGGGGGGGTCTTAGCAAGACATTAATGGGCTCAACACATAAATACAGTCGTTACGGCTCTCTGTGGAGAGTCTCTGGAGTAGACAGGAGTAAGCTGGTGAGAATTTGTGAAAAATGAGGATGTAATGGTGCATTTAAGCACACTAAGAAAAAGAGCACACACTGAACACAGGGTCTTCATGAGCAGAGACGAAGGCGAGTAAGGAGTGTGAGTTTAGTTCTTTGGGGCATGACGGCTCCTTTGTTCCCAGTTCCTTCAGCCCAAACACATGGCAGCACCCCCTTTCTTCCATGTGTGGGTGTGTGTGTGTGCATGTGTGTGTGTGTGTGTGTGTGTGTTTGTGCATTTTTGTGCAAACACTGTCTCTAGAGTCAAACGAAGGAAGAAAACCCTGTCACAGGAGTGCGTGACCCCGGTGGGTTGGCGTTGGGATTGATGTGTGTGTGCGCGGGCTGCCCTGTGGGTGTGTAAGCTCCCCCTGCGCTGTGCTGTGTCACCACCGTCTGATAGTAGGGCTCTGTGTCAGCGGTGGCACACTCGTCGTAAGCAAAAGGACTCCCTGTCCCTTTGAGGCCTTTGGGCTGCCGTTTCCAGGAGTTGTAGTAAGTGGGGTCGCTCATGTAGTGGTTGACAAAGGAGTGCTTTGGCTGTTCATCCTCGTAGTCGCTGTCCGTTAGCTGCACACAAACAACAGGATGCTTTTCAACTTACCAGTTATGACAGGAACAAGAGTAAGACAGGAAAACTAAATTACTGGTACAGAAAAAAATGCTATTCTGTGATATTTTCCTGCTATTTTAAAACATATTTGAATCTCTATAAAAAGCAGGCTTCCAAATACGTTGAGAGGATCATTGGCTCAAGGAAAAAGTGAAGAATAAACTCCGTCTCAACACATCTGAGCTGCTGCCCTCTGGAGGGCGCTAGAGGCTAATTAAAACAAAGGCAAACCGACACAGAAAACTTTTCTCCAAATGATGGCTACAAGCTGCTGTTAAAATCTAAAGAAGAAACTTTTGTCCCCTCAAAGTCATAAACATGTTGATCTCAATCATCTCAGTCTGTCTCTTCAAACAGACTTCCAACATAAAGCATCAAGTCTCTCTTTAACTACTTTTTATTACATTACCACAACAAACTCCATTGTATTATACATAGATTCTGTGTGACAAAACAACACAAAGTTGTGCTTAATTTTAAAGTGAATATAAAAAATTTAAAGTGGGATCACTCTTTAATCTAATATCTGTAGATAACATCCAAGACAACAAACTGAGTTTAAAATGTATAAAAAAGATAAAAAAATAAATAACATAAAATAAAATAGAATAAAATAAAATAAAATTAAATCATTTTTTAAAAAGCTACATAAGTGGTTTATTTATATAGTTAGAGGCAATTCACAACATGTCACCTCAATCCAATCATACATTCTAATTGACCCTAGTCACCTAGCAATGCAGTCAACTTCAGCCTATAATTCAAACTGGTAAAGTTTTCTATCATATCTTTATATCCACAGCTCAGGTGAATTATCGTTTACAGAATGATTGTTTATTCTGCAATTCTGGCCTTCATGCAGAATGGATAGAATAAAGTCAGGATTGAAAGAAAGAGCAAAAGTCATGTTTGAGGTTTGGCACAAGGAGTGTTGGCCAACTTAGTAGTAATTCGAAAGTAATTACTGATTACTTTCCCAAGAGAATAATCCAGTTAATACTTTACTGATTACTTATTTTAAAAATAATTAATTACTTTAATTACTTTATTTAGTTACTTGTTTTTGTTTGGCTTGTAACTTAATGTACATTTCATCACAAAAAATGTAATGAAATGCAAGTCTGATTTGAAGAATTTTCTTCTGCACATTCCATGATAAAGAAAATCAAGTCTCTCTTCTGTTAAACTATATTTCTTCCTAACCATGCAAAGCATAATTATTTTTGTGTTTGCATTCTTTCATTCAAAATAGATGTAAAATACAGTGATAATATAAAATAATTTAAATTGATATCTCCTGACTGTCCTCTGAATTAGTACCATTTCCATCTTTTAACAGTTTTTGAAGTAGAGAGAAGACTAGTAATGAGTTTTAAAAAATCTCTTTTCACCTGTTTAGCAGGAGAGGGGCTGTCAGAGGTTTGCCCTGTGGAATCTATGTGGTAGCTGCAATGGTCAAGTCAGTGAGAGGGTCTGGGGGCTCTCGGGGCTACTGTTCAAATATGAAGTAGAATTTTCACTAGAGATAAGTTTTCTTCCCACACAGAGCGAACAGCTAATGATGGCGCTTCCAAGCATTAAACGCTACATTGTTCTGCTGCACTCTGTACTGTTTGCTGCTGATTTACGCTTTGGTTTGTTACCATGACCAGTGATGACGCACACACAGACATGATTGTCATGAGAGGATTACAAACAAAATCACAGTCTGCTTGTGTGGAGTAACAGTAATCTAATGACTTTTTTTTTTTTTAATTGTAGTTCCTTATTTTACTTGTTACTTGAAAAAAGTAACTGGGTTACATTAATACTGACCACAAGTCATGTTGGGATACAGCAAACAATGTGGGAGAATGTGCTCTAGTCACATGAGACCAAACTTGGTCAGTCAGCCAGCCATGACTTCAAAAGAAACATTAAAAAGCCATATTGCAGTTTGCAAATGCACACAGGGACAGTAACTTTCATTTTTGGAGTCATGTCCTGATCTGTTTGGCCATAATGTTTCCACATTTGGATGAAAACATCTAAAGACATCAGCCCGGAAGTTAAAAATTGGTCTTCCAAATTAACAATGTTGCAAAGCATTCAGACAAAGTGGTTTAGCTTCAGATAGTGAGAAACAAAATGGCGCATGTGTCTTTCTATTCTGTGAATGTAAACTTCTGGTTTCAACTGTACATCTCAAGGAAAATACACAGAAGTTTATGGCATGTCAAAGTTCCAGGCATGTGAACTATACTAAAGTGTGAGACTTGTGTAATATGATACATATCTATAAAAGATGCAATATAATCAGCACATATGCTCTATTTTCATTATGCTGTATTTGTCTAATATAGTAATGTTTAGATTTTTTTATTATTCTTTGAAGTCCTTTTGTTATATCTGGAATTTAATTTTATTATATACAATGATCAGAGATTATTCTATTCTATTCTATTCTATTCTATTCTATTCTATTCTATTCTATTCTATTCTATAAAACCAAAGTTACAGCACAGCAATATAATACCACAACAAATATCTAAAATAGCCTTCTAAGAGCTATATTCACTGAGATTAACCTGGCTTTTTTCAGCTTCCTCTGTTGGACTAAAAGCTTTGTACGAGTCAGAGCCTGTTAGCAGAGCTTCATGTTGTTTTGCCGACTAACCCTTTGAGGACTATAATAAATCAGATCAGTCATGAATCTATATTTCTCTTTTCAGCTTTTTTGACAGAAGACATGCTACACAAACTGAAGACTGAAAATACTTGTCACTTTCTTTTGACTGTACACCTCAGACAATATCAGACAGATTTTCTTCCAAATGTAAAGTGCTTCCGAATTGTAAGGATCACATCGATCACAATTGTTTGGTGACATGTTACAGTGGTTTCAGAATTTTCAGTAAATTTTTTTTGGTCATTTTGAAAGTATGAACACAAACGTTCCAAGTGAATTTATGGCAGATACATTAGCAGTTTATAAATTTCAAAAGTAAACCAGAAAAAAAAAAAAAGGAAGGAAAGATGGAAAGAAAGTAGAAAAATAGATGGACAAATGGCTTGACAAATAAAGGGCAGATTTAGAGAACAGAATTTGGAATAAAGTGGGGGAAAACAAATATTTTCCCTGCTTTTCCAGACTTGTTAGAATACTTTATATCATATTCTGGATTCAGCTCCGTGAACTCAGTCCAGAACCAAAACTGATTGAAGCACAATGTGAAGGATTAATCTTTCTCACTCTACAGCTATTCGTTTGCTCCTTTCTTAACAGTAGTAGAAACATAAACTCTGAGGAATTAACCTACACAATCTGTAGATAAAAAGACGCCAGTTAAAAACTAGTGATCAAATATCTGGCACTAACCAACTGATCTTCATAAGTCAGACACACTGGTGTAAAATTGTGGCACATATTGAGACAAAGTTACACCAAACAGAAACAGGAGGAGCTTAAACTGAGGCAAACATTGGAAAGCCACATCCATAAAGACAGACTAGAAAACACAGATACCTCTGATTCAGAGACCTCAGTGGGTTTCTCTGTGAGTGTGGTGCTTTCAGTGAGCACTGCTCCGTTATAGTTGTTACAGATATCTTCATCAGAATAGTGGAGCCCACCTGGACTGGGCCTGGGTGGAGATCTGGACACAAATTTGGATGATGAAACTGTTATTTTTCTTCCAATGAGGATTAGTGCTATGTAATCCTCTGAGAGAGCTAACCTGTTCCCATTCTTTTTGAGGAAGGAGTTCTTGGTGTTGAGTGTTCTGCTGTTTAGCTCCAGAGAAGTAAAACCACCGTTGTCGAGGGTTACCGACTCCTCCCCTGGAGTAATGTGCTTTCCTGCAGGAATATAAGAAAAAAAGAAGGACATTTGAAGAAGCTGGTCCAATAGATTACTGTTTCTATACAGCAGGACATCAAGTTTTTTTAATTCTACCTCCACTATTCAGCTATTTTTATACATATGTGTTGAAACTGTCACCATGTCCTGACAGTATGGAATGAGACAGAAAATATGTGAGAAAAAAAATCAAGTTCCTCTGCCTCCTTCCAGTGCTCCCAGTGCTAACTAGAAACAACCAATCAGAGGCAGGAGGAGGGGCTTACCCCAGTCAATCACAATCTCATGTAGCACTGCTCATCCCCCTTGCTCTTTGCTATGCTGCAGCTAGCAAGGAATGTCATGAATGGATTAGCAGCATTGACTGACAGCACTAAGGCCTTGCTGCAGCAACAGCAGCTCAAGAAGGAGCTGGAGGAGATCAATCTTTTCACAGATTATCTGTGAGCAGACTCATTCTCACAAAAAAATAAATTGCAATTAAAATAAAAGGTTGAATAAATCCCCAAGTCATAATTTCTTATCACATAATGTAATCATCTGTTTGACAAATTTTATTCAAAATTATAGAAAATAAACAGCCTACAGTATTATTACTGTATTGCTTTTACATCTAAAATAAATATTTCTCAGTTAGTCTATTGTTACAACCAAACATGGATCCTTTTAAGGCAGAGGGTGATTAAGGACAAAACTTTTCTTCTTTCTGTTAAGCAATTGCAACAATTATGTTAATTTCCTCTCATCTGCTATTATGTCGGAAAGTTAATCAATTACAAATTTCAACATAAAGAAATAATTCACAAGCACCCTGACAATGCTAAGAAAATCCAAGTTAAGTAATTTTGTGCATCTATTAGTTTAATTATCAAGCTATTTATGTTGATTAGATGTTAATCAATACTCCATGCCTTTCTACTTCTTTGGGCTATAAAAGTGATGCCTTTATAACACCACATGGTATTCTAGAAAAGGGAAATGTGTGTTGATTTTCAGAAGTGGCTAACTTTACGGTTAAATATAGTAATTATAGTCAATATATTAACATAGTACAGCAATTAAAGATGTTAAAATAACATGAGCTGTGACAAATAAGACTAGACGAGGAGCAAAAGTCAGCTTTCCACTGTTTCAAAGAGGAGGATGGAATATAAAATAAATCTTCAAAGCTCAGGATTGAAGAAATGCAGCAAATGGAGTTAGGTTCAACTAATCTCCATCATTTATTTGGCTTTGGTTCAATTGAAAATATCTTATTAATCTCAAAGGAAAATTAAATAATAAAAGTGCAAAGTGATGTAGCTAGTCCCAAAACTACAAAAAGTCTGAGTAGATTTCTGTACTAAAATAAAAGCATTTAAGAATAATAAATTAAAGTAAGGAAAACAAAAATCCAGTCAGATGTTTGGGAGTGGGCTCTGTCCTGATTCATCAGAGTGAAGGAACAAGGTTACACCTCTCAGCTCAACAAGCAGCTGGAGGCAGTTTTACAAACAAACACGTGAATAGGTGCCCCAAAAGTGTCTCAGCTTTTCAGTGTCATAAAAACAGACGATTCTGAATCACTATGTTTAGGTAATGATGCTACTAAAGCTGACAGCGTTTTGTCTGAAGAATAAAAATAAATGGACAAACATCATCTGCACAATTGTGGCACCTGAAAGACTTAAAGGTTGAATAAGAGAAGCACAGACCTGTACCACAGGCCTTGTACTTGGTGCTGTGTCCATGCAAGAGCAGAGTAAAGACCAGGACCAGGATGAGGATGAGGCCCACCAGAGCCATCACCAGCAGGAACCACCACTCTTCATAAAAAGGACGCTCTGACAATGCTGCACGCAGAGAGATGGATTAGGACATTAAACATGTCTGATTTATTCTTGATTCTATCGAACATATAATGCTACAAAAGTGAATTTAACAATATGCTTGCTGCAATATTTGCTGGTCTATTTTGTATACGGTCACAGATGTCAGTTTAAAATTTCAAATGTATACACATTTAAAGAACCTCAGTGTTTATTCTTAACTCTTTAGTGCAAAAAAACTGATTGAAAATCAATTTATTCACTGCATGTTTATGTCTGTCTGTGTAAGGCTGAGATGGAACTGCACATAAAAACATCCCTTTAAAGCAGGGGTGCTCAAGTCCAGTCCTCGACAGCTACCATCCTGCAGCTTTCAGATGCTTCCCTGCTCCAACAAACCTGAATCAAATGAATGGTTCGTTATCAGACCTGTTCAGAGTTGATCCTGGTCTGTTGGAGCAAGAATGCTTCTAAAAATTGCAAGATGGTAACTCTTGAGGATTGGACTTGAGCACCCCTGCTTTAATTATTCAGACTACCAACACAAAAGAGACACAATCAAAACTGACTTATTACCCTGCGATAACTCAGAAATAGTCCAAATAGTTTTAATAAAAAGTATTTTTTTATTTGTTTTCTTCTTACGGAAAATTTCTGTTTATATCATAGGTTTGTGGTGCATTTCTATCCAAAAGAAAAAGATATAAAACTTCAGATATTTCACAACGAGATATTAATATGCATGGAAAAACCTCACAAAAGCCTTATATTATAGTAGAAAGTACAATGGCCACCGTAAGAATGGCTTACAGTATTCAATTATGCCTCATGAACTGATCAGTACATTATTGTGAGGGAACGCAAAAGAAAAAAAAAAATCCCCATCTCCCAACTTGGCCATCTGTAAAACAGAAAAAAAATAAAAAGCTATACCCCTGGGATAAAACAAAGATGGAAAATTACCCAGCCACACATTACTATCAAGAAATTATTTAAATACCAGTCTCCATAATATAATTGCAAAAATATTTCAGATAATTTGTCATCAATTCTGTGAATTTATATTTTCTTCAGAGCAAAAGCTGTCCAAACATCATAGTAGACGATGCTTTGCAATTTGTGAAAAAAAAAAAAAATCACATTGATGTACTTTTCCCCCAAAATTATTCAAACAAATCATTGTGGCAATATACTTATATTAAAGATCCAAGTGACTCCAAACCACTTTTAATAGCAATGGATACCAACATCAGGGCTTTTGCTGCTCCAGCATAAAAAAAGTCTTTTGTATTTACACTAAATGTCCTTTTCTGACATTAAAATTTGCTTAATGTTCTGAAACACATTAGTGGGACAAAAAGAAACAAAAAATGTCAGGGGGAAATTTTTTTAAAAGGGCAGTATTGTGTATTTTCCAGGCATAGTGCCATATCATGGCACAATCAAGGAACTATGCTGCCGTCACTTGTTATAAAAATGCTATGCCTATCAAATATGACTTAAAAGAAATTCAACTTCATAATTTAATGCCTTGAAATTGGGCCTTTGTCTCATTAAAAACTCCTGCTCTTTCTGAAACTCAGGAACTCATCACAACATGGCTCCTCTATTAACCCTGAAACAACGTTTTTGCCAAATGAAATCAGACTTTGCAGATGCACAGTTCCATCAGGTGTTTACTAATTGCTGCTAGCCAGTCTGAAGGAGGAAGTTGCGGGGAGGTCTGCTCTTTGAGGAGGTACAATTGCATTCAACTATTCAACTGCATAAACAGTTGAATGGTTGCCGTGGGAGATTTGAAGGATTTCTTAAACATGGATGAAAGAAGGGAACACTCCCGGTATGTTTTTAATGAAGGATTAACATTATAACCTCATGTAAAGCACAGAAAAGTAATTGACTTTACATAACTTTGCCCCTTTAACAGCACAGTAGTGTTTTTTATTTTATTTTACACTCATTCAGGATATTGTGTATTTAGAATACAAAAAGTAAAATGCTGCAGCAAATCCTTTGAAAATAAAGACAACTCTAAGTGTCTGTTCCTCTGATCTTTTCATCAGAAGCGCTAACTAAATGTTGAAAGATAACTGATAAGCATCTGAGGTTAGATTTCTGTTTGACCTGTTACACAGGCTGCAGCTGAAGCAGTTCTGCCTTTACGTAGAGGCAAAAGCCCAATCACCTCAGTATCGTCCTGTTCTATGCTGCATCCATCAGGCTGGATCTACTGTAAACTTTCCCAGCATTATCTCCAGTGGTGTGTGTTTACCAGCAAGAGCCACGGAGGGTGCGCTTGGCTGTCCGTAACCATAGCGATTCACAGCAATGACTCTGAACTCATAGCTGACCCCTGACCTCAAACGCTCCAGTGGCACGGAGACGGACCTGCTGGCTGGAGGGAGGAGTCGGATGAAGGAATCCCAGACTCCCTCATCTACAGGAATACAGGTTTCATTAACACAAGTGGATGGATAGAACTGTTAGCTGTGAGTAAGAATGATACATTTTAGATGGTAACAATATTGTGGTGGAGGCAGTAATTGCTGTTACGGTTTTTAATAAAGAGGCTTATTCATTGTTAGCAGAAGAAAAATTCAATCAAAGACTACAATTGCTCTCCTGCAGAGTGGTGAAGCTCTTTCCTTTCCTGCATTACACACACACCTACACACACACGCACCCATGTGCCCACACACTCACACACACACACGCACGCACGCACGCACGCACGCACGCACGCACGCACGCACGCACACACACACACACACGCACACAGATCTTTAATTGTGCCTGACTTGATTTGCACCATGGGATATGCAGAGACTTGCCACTCAGAACAGTTTAGTTTGAGTAAGTAAAAGAATCAGTGCAGACAGTGCAAAGGTCGAAGCAATGAGCAACAGAGCTCACCTGAGGGACGCGCCTCCACAACGTAACCAGTAACAGGAGCTGCACCCATGTCTCCCTCTGACCAGTGGATGGTGAGAGCAGATGATGTCTTGGTGATAGACATTTCCACCGGTGGCCCAGGGGACCCTTTAGTATCAAAAGAACACATTCACATGTAGACATGGTACTGATTTGTGTTGTTTTCCTGGGAATCAACCCACAGAAATTAGTTTAATCCTACCTATAATTTATTAGCAATGCATAATACATCGGCACTAACATCACTATCGACTGGTATTAGTCATTTTTTAACATATCAGTATTGGTCCGATAAATAAAACTGGCCTGATAATAACAATAAGTATTAATTTCCACTTTGTTTCCATTTGTGTCAGGAGGGGAAGGGGCAGAGGTTGGTACTTCACGTTTGGTTCAATACAATTCAATACATTATCCTGTGTTTCTTTAGATAGAAACCTTTCAATATGTTGAGTGATTAACTGAGCATACTGCACTGTTTGATAACTAGGATCAATTGGAATGTATATGTGATTAAATTGAAATATTTTTTTGTAAAATGCCTTGAAATGACATTTGTTGTAAACTGGCACTATATAAATATAGTGAATGATTAATTGTACTGGCCAAAACCTTGTTGGACATTTGTAAGGAATGCTGAAAACAAAGAAGAATGGAGGAACCAGTTTAAATGAGCAACCATTTCTGCCAAGAACAGGTCAAAAATAGCCCAGCCCAGCCCAGCCCAGCTTATCCGGGGTCAGGTTGCGGTGGTAGCAGCCTAAGAAGGCTCTTTCCTTGTTCCAGCTCCTCCAGGGGAATCCCAAGGCATTCCCAGGCCAGCTGAGAAAACATAGTCCCTCCAGCGTGTCCTGGGTCTTCCCCAGGGTCTCCTACTGGTGGGACGTGCTCGGAACACCTCACCAGGAAGGCGTCCAGGAGGCATCCTAACCCCAAGCCACCTCATCTGGCTCCTCTCGACGTCAAATACCCAATTACACTTAATTTCTGGTGTGAAGTAATGTTAACTTTTGGGAGAGTCCAGATTTGAATCTGAAGGAGAATCCAAAATGGAAACTAAAGTCTCCTCCTTATTTTATTTTAAAAATAAATGTAAAATAAAATCTGCTGGGGGTATGAATAATTTTGGACTTAACTGTATACCTTGGGACCCATATTTAAAGGTTACTTGTATGTAAACTTTATACCCTTATATTGATAAAAAACATATATTTTTGCAGGTAAAGTCAAATCTTAATTTAAAAAAAAAAATTCAGCTGGTGATAGTATCTTTTGGTGTTTTGCTTAACAAAACACCAAAAGATACTTTGAATGTTTAATACTCTAAATAAAATAATTTGAGTTGAAGCAAAGTCTAAAGTGACAACATGTAGAGATTTCTGTCAGCTCTGCTCACCTTTCACAGGTCGAGCTGTGATGTTTGCTTCCACTGCTGATCCGTAGCTGACTGTGAGAGCTTGAACCCCAAACATATACGTTGCTCCTTTGATCAGATCTCGAACTTTTAGCCATCGCTGCCAGCTCCCTTTCACATCAACTGTCACCACTTTACTCACTCCTGCAGATTTTTGAGGAGAAACCACTTTGTAACATCAGACATGCCCTTCAATGAGTGAGTGTCTGTTTTTGTGCATACCTTGTACAGGAGCGGTGGGCTGATAGATGACCCGGTAGCCTTCTACTTGTCCATTGGGAGTGAGTGGAGCTCCCCAGGACACGTTGACACTCCCCCCCGTCACTTCAGAGAAGGTCAGGTAGCTTGGCTGGCTGGGCGCTGCGGAACAAACAGACCAGGGAGATCAGAGAACACGCTGCCTTACAGTTTAGTTTTCAGGGAACTGAGTTGTAACGAAATTCCTACCAGACTGCAGGGTCCGTGCCCCGCGGGGGTCACTGGGAGGTCCATCCCCAGCAGTGTTAAAGGCAGTCAGTGTGACCATATATGGTGTATAGCTGGTCAGGTTTGTGAGGTGAACACAGGTATCTGGGACAAAAATCACCTTCATCTTCTCAGTCTGGTTCTGGTTGTCTCTTTCCCAGTAATGAATCTGGAACACAGTGAACAATAGATTCATACTGCTGCCGTTCCAAAAAAACCTTGTATTCAGCCTCATTCAAACTGAAAACCCTAAATATAACTCAGTGCAACCAAGTGCTTTAAAATTCACCTAAATTGTAAATCTGTGTGTAATCTAGTTTTAAGGATAAATCCAACTGTACAGTAAAGGTTACCCAAATTTGGGTCCTCTCGTGAATGACAACCTATGAATGACAGGTTAAACAGCTCAATCCAGCTCAATCCTTCATATGGAAATTTGAAGAGCATGGAACAACTAACTATACGTTAAGTGATAAAACATCTACATTTTTTATTGTGTTTACACGGCCCTAGTGTAGCCCAGACATAGTAAAGAGTAGACCTCAGATTGACTTCTCGGGCACAGGAAATATGGCGGTCATCTTGGAGCGGTCGTCCCTCCTACTTGGCTAAACCACAACAGCACTGCAGGAAATCAATGGATCAATGGACTATTGATGTGAGAGCTCAGGGGATGACATCTGCTTTAGGAACATTTTTGGTCATTTTTAAGAAACTAGCAAATTATTTCTGTTTTTTTGGGTTTCAAATAATGAAAAACATACAACTGTTGTATGTTTTTTAGGTTAATATTTGTTGAAAATTATGCTAAAAAGCATATACTTTACTCCTTAATGGCAAGAAAAATATATTTCTGGTAGTTTTGGTGTCTCTGAAGATTTTCTTTGACACATGTCACTTTTCTGAAGCCTAGCTTTTGAGTCAATTTTGTCTTTGAGCACTTTAGCACCCTTATTTTTTTATCTCAGATAAACTATACAGGAACTGCAAATTAATTATTGTCTGATGTGCAGCCAGAAGGTGATACTGTGGTGTTTATAGAGACTGATCCAGAGCCAGTCTTTTATTAAAGAGAATGGTTCATAAAGGTGTACACAAAGAACAGAGAAGCAAGACAGTACAAAAACAAACATGCACATATAATCATAATGATGTGCTGAAAAGCACAGTGTAATAATTAATACAAGATGTATTTGGTG